GTCGTGTGGAGGGCATCGCCCAGTCGTTCACGCTTCCGGCCTCTCCACAGCAGAATATGATTGATGAGCGTCGCATTGGCTTGGTCATGGAGGTTGCTCACACCTCCATGATCCATGCGGCTGCTCCCCATTTTCTGTGGCCGTTTGCGGTCCGATACGCCGCGCATCAGCTCAACCTCTGGCCTCGTGTCTCTGTGCCAGAGACCTCGCCTACACTGCGTTGGACGGGGGAGGTTGGCGATGCGTCGGCGTTTCGGGTCTGGGGCGCGCTCTCCCTTGTCCGCGATACCACCGCAAGCAAGCTCTCTCCTCGCACTCTCCGCTGCGTCTTCCTTGGCTTCCCCACCGACGCCCCGCCCAAGCAGTTTTACCACCCTGCCTCGCGCCGCATCCGGTCCTCGCAAGACGTCACCTTTGACGAGTCGTTCTGCTTCTACCGTCTCCAACCGCACGTGTCCTCCCCACTCTCCCCGCCGCCCCTCTTCTAGGTCCCAGGCCCCCCCCCGGTAGACCCCCTCCCCCCACAGGGTACTGCTCCCTCAGGTGTGTCTCAGGTCGACCCACCCCCCTTGGTTGAGCCTTTGGAGGTCTCCTCTGACACCTCTGGCCCAGCTGAGGGGGATGATCCCGCTGTTGACGACACGGCGGCCACTCGCCGCTCCCCGTGCTTGGAGACCCCTCCTGGATTTCCGCCTCGGCCGTCTTCGCGCCTCCGAAGCCTATCGCTGTGGACTCTGGTGCTGCTGGGGGTGGGGACCCTGAGGGTGCGGACTCTGGGGGTGCTGGTCCGCGGGTTGCTGAGTCTGGGGATGCTGGTTCTGGGGGTGCTGACTCTTGGGGTGCCGGTTCTGGGGGTGCTGACACTGGGGGTACTGCGAGTCCTAGTGGTGGTGGAGTCGTGGGTGCTCTTGCTGGGGGTTCTGGCGTTGGACAGCAGCAGCAGTCTCGTCGACAGGAGACCCTCTCGCTGCAGCAGCTTCGCGACTGGGTTGTTCGGCGAGGCAGTTCTGGTGGTGGAGGCTATAGGGCTGCTGGTGCTGGAGGTGCTAGAGATGCTGGTGCTGGAGGTGCTAGAGCTGGAGGTGCTGGAGGTACTGGAGCTGGAGGTGCTAGAGGTACTGGAGCTGCTGGTGCTGGGGGTGTTGGAGCTACTGGTGCTGGAGGTGCTAGAGCTGTAGGTGCTGGAGGTACTGGAGCTGCTGGTGCTGGAGGTGCTAGAGCTGCTGGTGCTGAAGGTGCTGGAGCTGCTGGTGCTGGAGGTGCTAGTGCTGGAGGTACTGGAGCTGCTGGTGCTGGAGGTGCTAGAGCTGGAGGTGCTGGAGGTACTGGAGCTGCTAGTGCTGGAGGTGCTGGAGCTAATGGTGCTGGAGGTGCTAGGACTGGAGGTGCTGGAGGTCCTGGAGCTGCTAGTGCTGGAGGTGCTGGAGCTGTTGGTGCTGGAGGTGCTGGAGCTGCTGATGCTGGAGGTGCTAGAGCTGGAGGTGCTGGAGGTACTGGAGCTGCTGGTGCTGGAGGTGCTAGAGCTGCTGGTGCTGGAGGTGCTGGAGCTGCTGGTGCTGGAGGTGCTGGAGCTGCTGGTGCTGGAGGTGCTAGTGCTGGAGGTACTGGAGCTGCTGGTGCTGGAGGTGCTAGAGCTGGAGGTGTTGGAGGTACTGGAGCTGCTGGTGCTGGAGGTACTGGAGCTGGAGGTGCTGGAGGTACTAGAGCTGGAGGTACTGGAGGTGCTGGAGCTGGTGGTTCTGGAGGTACTGGAGGTGCTGGAGGTGCTGGAGCTGCTGACGGCACGGGCACTGAGCCGCGCCGACATTTTTTCTACCCGCAGCCGCAGTCGTCCCTACCACCACCTGACTCGGCACTTCGTCAGGTTCTTAGTCTTCCGTCTTCCATAGGCCTTACTCCGCCTCTCCTGTGTCCTCCGCCTGACCAGTCACAGCCGCAGTTACTGCCTGGCTCTCCACTACGTGCTCCTTCTCCCTACCCTACACAGACAGGCTCCCAGGCTGAGCAGCGTGAGCCTGAGTCTCGTCCTGCCTCCCCTTTTCGCACTGTCAGTCGTGCTCGTCGTTCTCGTCCTCCACCTGTCCCCAGCACGCACACTATGGCACTTCGTCCTTCCTCTGTTCCACTTTCTCGTGTTGCTCTGCCCTCTCCTCCGACGTCCTCTCTTCCTGACGTTCCTGACCCTGAGTCCGACCTTGCTCGTGCTGCTAGTCCTACTGTCACTAGTCTCCTCGCCATTGTTGTCACAGACCCTTCCTTTGAGTCTACTGCTGCGTTTGCCCTAGTCACTGAGCTAGTCGACTTTGCTGCTACGCGTCGTCTCGACTACGTCGCGAGTCTGGTTACTGAGTCTGAGTCTGTCTTTCCTCCGTCCGTAGGGGGTGAGCTTGCCCTTAGCAATGACGTCCTTGAGGACATGCAGTTTGAGCTTGAGTGTCTCGCGATCGCTTTACCTCGTTTCGCGTCCATGCTGCTTTGCCCTGAGGGAGACCCGGATGCACTTGACATCCCTACCCCGCGCTCTTACGCAGAGGCAATCACGGGTGAGTATTCCTCTCAGTGGAAGACAGCCATGGACGCAGAGATGGCTTCCTGGAAATCCACAGGCACCTACGTTGACGAAGTTCCCTTTCCTGGGGCGAACATAGTCGATGGCATGTGGATTTTCAGAGTGAAGCGGCCGCCGGGTTCTTCGCCTGCCTTCAAGGCGCGTTACGTTGCTCGAGGCTTCAGTCAGCGACAGGGGGTCGACTTCTTCCAGACCTTCTCCCCACCCCGAAGATAACTACTCTTCGGGTGTTGCTGCACGTTGCAGCACAGCGTGACTACGAGCTGCACTCCCTCGACTTCTCCACAGCATTCTTGCAGGGCAGCCTTCACGAGGAGATCTGGCTGCGCCGCCCACCTGGCTTCACTGGGTCGTTTCCTGAGGGTACCCAGTGGAGCCTCCGGCGACCAGTCTACGGTCTCCGCCAGGCGCCCCGCGAGTGGCACGACACACTGAGGACGACACTTGCGGCTCTTGGGTTTGCTCCTTCCACTGCTGACCCGTCGCTGTTTCTACGCACCGACACTTCTCTGCCGCCGTTCTACGTTCTCGTGTACGTCGACGACTTGGTTTTTGCTACTGCTGACACTGAGGCACTGGCCCTAGTGAAGGCGGAGCTGCACGAGAGACACACCTGCACTGACCTGGGTGAGCTGCGGAGCTATCTTGGCTTGCAGATCACCCGGGACAGAGCACGGCGCACCATCACCCTCACTCAGTCACACATGGTGCACCAGGTCCTTCAGCGCTTCGGCTTCACGTGGTCCTCACCACATCCCACTCCTCTGCCTACAGGCCACTCGCTCTCAGCTCCACCTTCGGACGAGTCCGTAGAGCCGAGTGGTCTGTATCTAGAGCTTGTGGGTTGCCTCATGTACCTGATGACATGCACACGACCCGACCGCGCGTACCCTCTCAGCCTCCTGGCTCGCTACGTGGCTCCCGGTAGACACCGAAAGGTGCACTGTGAAGCTGCTAAGAGGGTACTGCGTTACTTGTGCAGTACATCGGGCATGGGGCTTGTGCTTGGAGGTCGGGACTCAGTGGTACTCACAGGTCACTCAGACGCTTCCTGGGCCGACGACCAAGCGACTCAGCGGTCGTCGCAGGGTTACACCTTCTGTCTTGGCTCTAGTTCTGTCCCGTGGAGGTCCACTCGTTCGTCTTCTGTGCTTGGTTCCAGCTGTGAGGCCGAGATCTACGCTGGGGCTATGGCTGCACAGGAGCTACGCTGGCTGACCTACCTGCTGATCGACTTGGGGGAGCGGCCTCGTTCTCCTCCAGTTCTGTACGTCGACAACAAGGCCATGATTGCCTTGTGTCAGGAGCAGAGACTGGAGCACAGAACGAAGCACATTGCTCTTCGTTACTTTCTTGCTCGGGAGCTGCAGCAGCGTGGTCAGCTGCGCCTTGCTTACGTGGCCTCTCGGGCCAACACTGTTGATGTCTTCACCAAGGCCTTTGGGTCTGGTGATCATCAGCGTTTCTGCACTGCTCTAGGCCTTGTGCCTACTCTGCCTCACCTGCTGGTTGCTTGACTTGTCTTGTACTATGATCTATATATATATACCTGTATGCTTGCTCTTGCTAGGTTGTGATCACTGTATTGCTTGTGCTTTTATAACTCTACATGTGAACTGCCCTTGTGGCCGCTTGCTTGTGCTCAGACTGCGTGGTGGTCTTGAGATCCACCCTCAGCTTTGCTTTGCTTTGTTCTCTTGCTTGACTGGTCCTGTGACTGTTGGTGTGTCATATTGCATTTGTTATCTCTAGGTTGTAGTGGGGCATACTCTAAGGAGTACAACACATTAGGTCATTCCTAGTACTTGTACTCATCCTTGCTTACTAGTCCATCATTCTTACGTTCTATTTCTAACACACCTCCAGCTTCTTCATGAAGCCTAGAATAAACCCGCCTGCTCCAATCCCACAAGGGCAAAAACAGCTGAAGAATAAGATTCCCGTGGATGCAATCTCCAATATAGTGCAATATCTCGTATTTTGCAATCTCTCTTTCCTCTAGCTGAGTGCACATCGTATTTCATACATCAGTCACACCATCTCTACGTGATTTCCTCTATTAATCATCTATCCTATGGAGGACCATTGATCAATGCCTTCAAGGAATTAGGCATTTGGGAATTTAGGTCTACATTAATTCAATACCAGCCCTGCCATTTCGTTCTTTCACGTGTACCTAATCGCTGTTAGAGTCACACACGAATATTCTTGTGTCTATTCACGAGATGGTACCCTAGATGCTACTGTTTAGAGTCTCAACTCGGTGAGGCTGCTTGGGAGGCACAATGCACTTCACTTCCTCATGCTCCACTGATGATAGAGACTGCTGCTTGTGCCTATCCAATGCCCCTTGGCCATTCGAATATGACGAAGGCACAGGCGGGCACAGCTCAACCAACAGCTCCCTACCTATGATGGTGTCTAGACTAGACTAGAGTGACGCCCTCTGCAGAATGGCAGTGAGGCTACGTGCACTGGCCTCCTCACTCCACTCCAAGCTACGCCGCCTTGCCGCCAGCCCCACCTGCGCCAGGTGCTGCCTGTCCCGCAGCAGCGCCAGGATGCTCTCAGCGACAACTGGCAGGGCGGCAGAGAGGTCGACTGGCAGTGCCATCTGCTCTTCGGGCGGCAGAAGCTCGGCTGCTCCCACTGCGCCGCCCGGGCCGATGTGGATGACGGAAGGCGCAGCGAAGGCTGCTGCCTCGACGACCGTCATGCCGTATGCGTCGTACAGGCAGGGGTGGATGTTGAGCAGACTCTGGAGGCGAGGGAGGCAGGGGGAGAGGGGGAGAGGGGGAGAGGGGGAGAGGGGGAGAGGGGGAGAGGGGGAGAGGGGGAGAGGGGGAGAGGGGGAGAGGGGGAGAGGGGGAGAGGGGGAGAGGGGGAGAGGGGGGAGGGGGAGAGGGGGAGAGGGGGAGAGGGGGAGAGGGGGGAGGGGGAGAGAGGGAGAGGGGGAGAGGGGGAAAGGGGAGAGGGGGAGAGGGAGAGGGGGAGATTGAGGGGAGAATAGGGGGAGCGGGCGAGAGGGGGAGAGGGGGAGAGAGCAAAAGGGGGCGTGTGGTTGCATGGGAACAGGGACTTGGCAGGTGGGAAGGGGGTGCAAAGGTGGGAGGGCAGAGGCAATGGAGAGAATGCAAACACATTGGCACAGCGTATGCTGGGGTGAATGATGAGAATGCAAACACATTGGCACAGCGTATGCTGGGGTGAATGATGAGAATGCAAACACATTGGCACAGCGTATGCTGGGGTGAATGATGAGAATGCAAACACATTGGCACAGCGTATGCTGGGGTGGATGATGAGTGGCAATGGAGGGCAAGGGATTGACACGGTTGAGATGAGTGGGGTACAGAGCACTACCGTGGAGAGGGGCTAAAAGGCTCTGGCTAGGACACCACCTCCGTGCAGGTACGTTTGGGAACAGATGGCAATACAGGCATGCATGACAAGGGCACGCAGAACTCTCACGTGCGAGTACAGCTGGGCCATCCTGTCAGGCCCCATGAACCCATCCACCACCACGGCACCCGGTGCAGCCGCCACCACCTCGCGCAGCACGGCCTCCCCGAAGGCACCGCGCGTGGCAGCAGTGCCGGCGCAGAGCAGCGGTGTGACGCCCAGCGCTGGCAGGTGTGGCGCCAGCAGGCGCAGCAAGGGGGGCAGCAAGGCGGCGTTCTTCTCGGGGGACAGGCGCACGCAGCACACCAGGTACAGTCGCTCCCTTGGCCATGAGGTGGCGCTCACTGCCGCGGTGCAAAGGGGGTGAGCGTGAGTGAGCGGGGGTGAGGGAGTAGATGGAGTGAGAAGAAGTGAGGTGGCGGGGGAGCGTAGGTTCTGCAGCAAAGCATAGCTGAAGGGTTGGGGGCAGCTGAATGGATGGACGCACATTGAGGCGTCAATTTGCGATGTCAAGAGGGACATGAGAGATATGGAAAGGGGAAGAGTAGATTTGGTGGATCCGAAAGCATCATAGAGAGAAGCAGTGGAATTGACGTGGCAAGGAATGCTGTTGTGTCAATTCAAGACACGAGTGTGGAACATGAGGAGTCCCAGGGCAGTGAATGGAAAGGCGTCTGGTCCACCTTCTCTGCCACTGCTTGCCACCCCTCCTAGCTGCATGCCTCATGGGCAGAGGGGGGCCTCCTAGCTGCTTCCGCAACAAAAGGATCACCGCGAAATCACACTGACGAGTCATAGACCTTAAGCCCGCAGCACATCCACTTTGTCCCACTGCCACCACTCACTCTCTCACCCCACTGCCAGCACTCACTCTCTCACCCCACTGCCAGCACTCACTCTCTCACCCCACTGCCAGCACTCACTCTCTCACCCCACTGTCAGCACTCACTCTCTCACCCCACTGCCAGCACTCACTCTCTCGCCCCACTACTACCACTCACTAACTCGCCCCACTACCACCACTCACTCTCTCGCCCCACTACCACCACTCACTCTCTCACCCCACTGCCAGCACTCACTCTCTCACCCCACTACCACCACTCACTCTCTCGCCCCACCGCCAGCACTCACTCTCTCGCCCCACCGCCAGCACGCGGATGTCTTCTCGGAGGGGCGGCAGCAGCGCGTGTGGCTCCACCCCCGCCTTGCGCCCCGCGCCCAGGCTGTCTGCCAGGTACCGCGCATCCCTGAGACACAAGGGGGGGCGAAGAGAGGCAAGGACCGTTTGAAGGGGGAGGAAGGGCCACAATGCGCTTCCGACACTGCCCTACCACTCAACGTGACCAGGTTATTACAGCCATCCATCTTGCACTGCAACCCATCTCCCTGTGCGATCACAGCCGTCCATCTTACAATCCATCTCACCGTGAGCTGAGAGCAGTCACCACATCCGCCATGGCAACGGCCTCGCTCTCCTTCTCCCGGTAAAACGCCCGCTCCCTGCCCGCCTCCGTCTCCTCCTCCACCCCCCGCTCACCCTTCTCCCCAGCACTGCCGGCTGCAGCAGGGTCAGACGTGGTGGCGGCAGCAGGGTCAGACGTGGTGGCGGCAGCAGGTGCAGTGGTGGTGGCGGCAGAAGGCTGGTAGTGCGAGAGCGAGTACACGCGGAAGTTGAGGTATGCCATGCGCGGCCGCCTGGGAGCTGCCTGCCCGCGCTGCTCTGCTGCCTGCCTGCCTGCCCTCCCACTCTCGCCACTGCCATCCACCACACTGCCATATGCTGCACTGCCTCCCTCACCACCATGCGCAGCAAGGGTCTCGGCCCACACGGGAGCAGCAGCAATGGCGGTGAAGGCGGGCACGGCGGACCAGTCCACCACCAGCGCCCACTGCGGGGTGAACTGCGCCACTCTGCGCGCCACCTCCGCACCCCCCCCCGCCCCCTCGCCCGCCAGCCGGTGCGCCCACTGCTGCCAGCAGCAGCGCCAGTCCAGGCGCCCCCACGCGCTCACGGGCACCTCCACCACGCACTGCTCCACCTGCCCCGCCTCCTCCTCCTCCACCACGCAGCCCTGCTCCGCCTCCATAGAATTCTCCTCCTCCTCTGCCCCGTTCCTCTGGCCCCCCACGCTGCTGCCTCCGCGCTCACAGGATGCGCCCGCCGCTGCTGCATTCTGCTTGCCGCCTGCCTGCTGAGGCATGCCGCCCGGCTGGCCTGCCGAATGGAGAGAGCGTGTCGGACGCTGCTGGCGCAGCCTCACGACGATGGGCGCGGGGGAGGGCGGGCAGGGCGAGGAGGGCTTGGGAGGAGAGGCGGAGGAATTGGGCGGAGGGAGTTGGGTGGTGCTAGGGGGGGGAGCTGCACTGCAGGGGAAGGGGGAAGGAGGGGAGGTGCGGCGGGGGGAGAGGGGAGCATTGGTGGGGCAGAAGGGGAAAGGCTCGTCAAAGAAGGCAAGAGGCAGATGGCAGGTCAGTGAAGGCAGCGCCACTGGCACGAGATCAAAACCTGCTGGGCAAAACTAGGGCCAGGCACGCATTGCTGACTCGCAATCCCTCCCCTCGACGCCCTCCCACCACCCCATGATCGCCATCTGCTCGTCTCACCGCCTCTCCTCAATTCAACCACTCTCGCACTTCCTCTCCTCGCCTCCCCGCACTCCCCCTCCCCACGCCCCCCTCCCCCCCGCACCTGACGACCATCACGGAGTGGCCGTGAGCGACGAGCGAGCGCACGAGCGACTGCGAGTAGACGCCGTTGCCGCTGAACGTGCCCGCGCGGTACTCCAGAGAGACCAGCACCACCCGCATCCCCTCCTTCGCTCCGCCATTGCCGCTCGCCGCCGCCCTGCTGTCCGCCTCTGCGGCGGCCTCCCGCGCATAATGCGCGCCGGGTAAGTTCCCGCCCTGCGCGCCTCCTTCTGCTGCCGGCGGCATGTCCCCCGCTAACGCGCGGAGGTTCCGCGCGCGTACGATTTCAGACCAGTTATTCTGGCGGCGGAAAGCGACTAGGAGAAACAGTAGGAGGAACGTCGCCGAGGCTGCGAGAACGATCGCAGGATAATGCCGCAGGCGCGGACGGGAGGGCGGAAATGAGCGATGAGACGTGCGCTCCGAACGACGTACGGAGATCGTGGGTGACTGAGATGACACGAGTCTGGGTGGTGAACGGGCGGCCGAGCAGGAATGGCGGGCAGCCGATGTCATAGAAGGCACTCCGCCACCACCAACACACTCATCACGATTTTGCACAAATGGCAGAAGTATGTATTTTGATTCTAACGTCAATATACAGAATCATACAATAATTATTACAAGCAACTATTTTGTTCTAAAGGCATTTTTGAGGTGTCATTTTCGAAAGAACATTTATTATCTCGAGTTTTCCTTCATATTATGTTAACAGAGGTGGAATTTTTACACACTGGTTCAGTTTTTTTTGTTTTTTTTAATTTATTTTTGTCTGATCAATTTTTCAAATTCAATATTTATCATGGTTTACATTCTATAATGTGTATAATACATAAACAGTTCCGATACGAATTATAGCATGGTACTATTTCGAGTCCGTCTGTGAAACTGTCCGTGTCTGTATCGCGGACGGGTTACGACGAAATCGAGGAATGAGCTCCTTTCGTCTTGACGCCGATTGCTGTTGGTCAGTCACGCCCCCCTCCCTCCCTCCTCCCTGGTCCCACGTTCTGGGCTTCACGGCACGCCACGCCTTCCTTTCACAAGCAGTTGCTCATCTTTCTCCTTCAACCCCTACGGTATTGGAAATAATCGTAGAAGCACTTTCGCGAGCATCAGATTTCAGCATGGCTAGCGCACCCGCAAGCTGATCTGATTCGTGGAGGGCCCTCTGCAGATTCTCCGTGTTCCTTCTCAGTCAGTTTCTTGCTTCCATATCGAATTCTAAGTCGCCTCTCGATTCAGCAAGGGCTCTATTCTTGAGGCGCCTAAAATTAGGCGTCTCTTTCCAGAAACGACGGCATTTTGAGGGAGTGAGTCTCGCGATGGGGAGCGACGGCGACGGCGACGGCGAGGCGGGGATGCGGATGCAGCTCGTGTCGGGGACAGGCGAGTTCGATCGCGAGGGGCTTGAGCGATTCGCGCGTGCGACGCGCATGACGGAGTGCGGCCTGTCGTACGCCGTCATCGCCATCGTCGGGCCCCAGAGCAGCGGTACGCGCCTTGCTCGTATCTAACTCTTTTCGCGGCAGCGGTATGAGCCTTTCTAGTCCCTATCTCGCCTCCCCTGCTGCTCGCCACCTGCTTCTTGCTTCACGCGTAAACTCTTGCTAGCTCCATGACCCCGTGGGGGCAGCGAAGTTCGCAGCCATGTCATGAGCTTCTGTTGGTGCTTCAGCGCCCATCGTCACTCCTTTTAACCGCATCTCACCGCGGTTCCCCTGGTCTTGCGGATGGCGCGGCGCAGCTGCATGCTGCCCTGCACCGTACAGTGCTGTTGAGAATTCTCACACGAATTCTGAAATGAAAAAGGAAACGAAAAGTTCGAAGCCATGCAGTGCAGTGCGCTCACGTGGTATTGTGAAGTGGGGATGGGCTCTGCCCTCTTGCTGCTGCTCATCGTTTAGCCCCTCATCCCCTGTACGCCCACTCGCCGTGTGCTGGCATATCACACGCACACGATAGGCCCCTCTGGACTTGAGTCAGACGCTTGTCTACCGCCATTCATTTTGTTGCGTTACTTCTTTGTTGCCACCCTGTCAACCCTGCGTCACCCTCGTGTCACAACCATGTCACCCGCGTGTGACCCCGTGTGTGGGCAGGCAAGAGCACGCTGCTGAACCACCTCTTCCACACCACCTTCGATGAGATGGACGCGCTCAAGGGCAGGCGGCAGACCACGCAGGGCATCTGGGTGGCGGAGGCGCGCGGCATTCGCCCCTTCACCCTCGTGCTGGACATTGAGGGCACTGACAGCCGCGAGCGCGGCGAGGTGAGGGGGGCAGGGGGAGGAAAGAGTAGGGGCGAGGTGGGGGGAGGGGGAGGAAAGAGCAGGGACGAGGTGGGGTGGGATGGGGAAGAGGGCAGTGGCGAGGTTGAGGGGGGCAGGGTGAGGGGCAAGGTGAGTGTGCGGTTGAAGCACGGGGACTTGTGAGCGGATTCACAACGTATTCAGCCGTTCACGTTCGTGCTTGACATCAAAGGCACTGACAGCTGTGACAGGGGCGTGCGAGGTGGGCAGTGTATGGGAGATTGGCAAGTCCTGATTGCCCAAATCATGGCCCCCTTCCCTCCGCTCCATCCCCCATCAAATCTGCTCCCTGCCCTCGCCTTCCTCCCTCTGCCCACCCCCCTTCCCCCCCTCTCTACCCCATGTCCACCCATCAACTTTCCTCCCATTTTCACGTCCCCCTCCTTCCCCCCACTCTTTGCCTGCGGGCAGGACAACAGTTTACACCCCCTGCCTAACCCGCTTCCCTCTGTTTGCTCCCCCCCCTCCCCGCGCACCTCCCCCGCCCCGCACCACACCTGTGGCACAGGACGACACCACGTTTGAGAAGCAGAGCTCGCTCTTTGCCCTCGCTGTCGCTGACGTCATCATCGTTAACATGTATGACCTCATGGGCATGGCTTGGCGACACACGCTTGGTGTTGATGGTTTCACTGACCTGACATGACATGGCATGGCATGCATGGTCACAGGTGCTCAGTACCTGATGCTGATGTCCCTGTGCCCTGCGTTTTTCCCTTTGTTCCTTCCACTCATGCCACACATCATGGTATTGCAAGCGCATGTGCATCCATCCGTCGCCTCTCCTCTCATACCCTCGCCTCGTCTATCACCTCTTGTTTCGCACTTTCAAGTGCAACTGCTACCTGCCTCACCTTATTGTCCTGCATGACCGTCCATTAAGTTGCCCTGTGCGGCACTGTCCTGTCCTGTCGTGTCGTGTCATGCCAGGTGGTGCCACGACATTGGTCGAGAGCAAGCCTCCAACAAGCCATTGCTGAAAACGGTCTTTCAGGTGCGCCCTGCGTGTGTGCTGTGCTGTGCTGTATGCACATCTTAGACTTTCTACGGCCAGCCTCCCTGCTTCTCACTTCCAGCTGCGTGTGGACTGTGTCCCATTCAAACTTTGAGACGCCTCGTGTCTCATTCTCGCAACAACCCCCCCACTCCTCCTCCCCCGTCCCTCCCCGCCGTGAGGCAGGTGATGATGCGCCTCTTCACGCCCCGCAAGGCCACGCTGCTCTTTGTCATCCGCGACAAGACCAAGGTGGGTCACATGCTATGTCACGCCCACTCTTCCCGGTCCATGGCACGCTGCTGCCATCCTTGCTGGAATCATCTGCATCATTCCATTCCATTCCATCTCTGTGTGGTGTGTGTGGGCCTGCCTCAGTGCCCCATGTCATCCCACCCACCCACCTCTGTGCGTTCTGCGTGTGTACATGCGTGGCATGGTACTGGCAGACCCCAATGGACACACTGGAGCCCATCCTAAGGGAGGACATTCAGAAGGTGCGCCGGCCTTGGGGTGGGCTTTGTCGACAAAAGGGCCTGCTGGAAATGTTGATAGTAGGATAGTATACACAACGCTGGCTGCTTGCAGGCGGACAGGGGGTGACGTTGTCGAACAGAAAGAGCGCATCCCCAAACGTGCGCCCCACCAGCTCGCTTGGATTTTGGTTGGTGCATATTATAGGATAGTATCCAGTCAAATGTTTTACAACGCTGGCTCCTTGCAGGCTGGCCGTTGTGTTGTCTCCAGCCGCATGACTGCCGTTCATCACACAGCCATCTGGTCGTTCTTGTGATTTGGTATAAATCATTGCCTGCTGCCCTCTCGCCTGTGCGCCACTGCTGCGTGCCTGTGGTTGCAGATCTGGCAGAGCGTGCCCAAGCCGCAGAAGCATCAGGACACACCCTTCGCTGACTTCTTCAATGTATGTATCTTCCCAACAGCTGCTTCTTAGGTCCCTTCATTTTGCAGTCTGTTTTTGAGAATTCTCAAAAGCAGCCGGAAGATTTCTCAAACACACACTTTCTCCTTGCGAATGTGACTTTCAGCTCATTCCTTCGTTTCCTTCGTCCCTCCCCGCCTCCCCTTCCCCTCCCCTCATTGCTTTCTCCCCTCCGCCACTTTTTCCTTCCCCCCTTCCCTCGTTCCTTTCTCCCCTTCCGTTTCTCCTTGCCCGTCCATCATCTCTTCCTTGTGGTTTACCCCCCACCCATGCAACCTCCCCCCCACCCATGCAACCTCCCCCCACCCATGCAGCCTCCTCCCTACCCATGCAGCCTCCTCCCTACCCATGCAGCCTCCCCTGGCATCTAGTGATCTCTCTGCTGCATTATTTTCTGGATGAAGTCCGGTCCCTTCATATGTGCGTGCGCATGTGTATGTGTGTGCGTATGCATGTGTATGTGCATGGGCATGGGCATGGGCATGGGCATGGGCATGGGCATGGGCATGGGCATGGGCATGGGCATGGGCATGGGCATGGGCATGGGCATGGGCATGGGCATCCATGTGTGTCCATGTGTGTAACAGGTGGAGGTCACAGCTCTCCCCAACTTTGAGGAGAGAGAGGAGGAGTTCAAAAGCCAGGTGCGCAGCCTTTGCCGTCGCATAATGAAACAAGCTTTAAGTCGACTCAAAACTCGTGATCATCTCCCCGCGTCCAAAACTCCCCTCGCTCATCCAATTAGAATAGCCCGCTGTTCTGCCTTGATGGACGTGCTTCTCCTACTTCACCATGCTTCCATGTCACCCCGTTGCACACCTCCTTGGTACTTCGTCTTTAGCAACACCGCAGCTTCTTCCATCCCCCAACCCCCTGCAATTGCAACCTCCCATAGCCCGCACCCTGCACGGCACCCCTCCACCCCTCCCCCTCAGGTGGCACAGCTGCGCGAGCGTTTCCAGGGCTCGGAGGGGCGGCTGGCGGGTGAATGGTGGAGCTTGATTCCCCGTAATCCACCTATGCCCCTCACTCTCCCTCCTCCTCCCCTTCTCCTCCCCCACCCCCCACCCGCCACCAGGTGGCCAGGCTGAGGGACCGGTTTCAGGACTCGGTGGCGGAGGGGCGGCTGGCGGGGGATCGGCGGGGGGTGGTGCCGGCGTCGGGCTTCCCCCTGAGCGTGGCGGAGATGTGGCGCGTGATCCGAGAGAACAAGGACCTCGACCTGCCCGCCCACAAGGTGTGCTGCGGGGGGCTCTGTGTGTGCATGCATGGGGATCTGGTCGTGTGGAGTAATGCGTGAAGGTATAGTGGAACGGGAGGAGTGTCTTGGAGATGTGGCGCGTGATCCGAGATAGCAAGGACCTTGACCTGCCGGCTCACAAGGTGCGTGACTGTGTGCTTGCTTGCTCGCGTGGGAGGGAAAGCCTTTGTGTGAAAATGCATGTTGGGAGGGAACGAGCGTGGCGCGTGATTCGAGAGGACAAGGACCGTGGCCTGCCCGCCCACAAGGTGTGTTGTGCGCATGTGTGCTTGCTTGCTTGCATGGACGGCTTCGGCTGACACGTACGTACGCCAAGTGACACACTGCATCACCCCGCCGTCCACTTCAGCGACCCACTCGCGTTTTCGGAATGAATGACTGTTAGCCAAACTTGCTGCAGCACCAGAGCTTACTGCAGTCCAAGTCCTTCTACATTTGCATCTATGGATACTTATCCCCGTATCCCATCCCTGCCCCCTGCCCCATCGCCCCGCCCTTCCCGCCCCACCAGGTGATGGTGGCCACGGTGCGCTGTGAGCAAATCGCCGCGGAGAAGCTTGCCCAGCTGCAGGACAGCGAGGTGAGGTGTGATGCGCAGGTGATGTGATGCGCAGGTGATGTGATGCGCAGGTGATGTGATGCGCAGGTGATGTGATGCGGATGTGCTGGCGTCGTTTCTTCCACTTCCCTTTCCTCCCGATTCTCCTTCTGTCCACTATTGAAACCCTCGGTCAAGAGCCCGGTTATCCCTGCCATATTCGGGATAAACCGTCGCACGTAATTTGCGAACCCGAGAAAACTCTGCAGCTCCGTGACGTTTTGCGGCGGTTTCCACTGTAAAATGGCTATCACTTTGCGAGGGTTCATTTTAATTCCCTCTCCTGAAACTAGACATGGGCATAAGGCCCCGACGGGACGGGTCAACCCGACCCGACCTGCCTTTTTTGGCGGGTCGGGTCGGATTGTCAAGTCATGCCGACCCGTCGAAACGGGTCGACCTGTCTCGGACGGGTCGGGTCGACCCGCGACCCATATTAAGCCCTTTAGAACGGGACGGGCCGACCCGTTTGACCTGTTTTCTCCTCGGAACGACCCGTTCCTTCCGAATACGGGTCATGGATGAACAAACGGGTTGAGTTGATCCGACCTGTTGGCGGGTAAAATGGGACCCGCCAATTTCACTCGACATTTTAGGTTACTGGGGGGGGGGTCGACATTTCGAACCCCAGTCTTCATATCTCTTCGGCCTACCTTAGGATGAGTACTTTTAGGGTTAAATATAAGCTTAAGTACTTCTACTTCAGTCAGCCACAAATCTCGACGAAGTAGCTTAAGTCATTGCCTGGATTAAGGCATTCCGCCCTACACGAGCCATAGATCGCATTATCCCGGTGCATCAGCAGCGCGCGTCGCTACTGGTCACACCGCTGCGGAGAGCAGCACGCGCTGCTGCAGAGAGGGGCGCGCGCGGAAACCCTAAAGAGCGCGCGTCCACGCGCGTCCCGCGTGTGCGGGTACAAATGGGTCATGGACACCCGACCTGTATACGGGTTGACCCGACCCGCTACGGGTCACATTCGACCCGTACATGTATGTACGGGACGGGTCAATAAAATGGCCAGGTCGGCCCCCCACGGGTCGACCCGACCCGTACCCGTCATGGGTCACCCTAAACGGGTACGGGTCGGGACGGGTGGACCCGTTCCCCATGTGTACCTGAAAGCACGTGCCCTAGGAACTCCACCTCCGACTTTTAGGAACTGACACATAGAGCCCTTCGTACTAAGCTGGCTCTGCTGCACGCGCCGGACCACTATTGCCTACCACTTCACGCAGCAATGAATGCTCTTGCATTCCAACCCCATCCTCTCCTGCTCTCTCCCCCCCTCTTATTCCCCCCCCCCCTGCCCCTCCTCCCGTGCATCAGGAGTGGGTGGCACTGCAGGCAGCAGGGGAGGCGGGCAGGGAGGCGGAGCACTTTGGTGGGCGGGCCAATGAGCTCGCGGCTAGTGCGCTTGCTACGTGAGTGATGCTATGGTCATGGTCACGTGAGTGGTGCTATGGTCATGGTCACGTGAGTGGTGCTATGGCTAGTGCTCACGAGTCTTAGCATGGCATAGATGACATGACATGAACATACGCCCAAATGGATGCAATGCAACGTCCTCTTCGTCCTCACGTTCTTCCATTATCTCTTCTTTCTCTGCTTCTCTCCTACCTCGCTCTATTCGCCCCTCTTCTTCCTTTCCTCTGTTTTGTTCGCTCACAACAAGGAGGCAGCACACTCAATAGGGAGGAGGAGCCTGAAAATGCGCCCTTTTGATGCTCTCATAACCATTTCAATGCTTCACCTCCAATCCAATACAGAGGCAGAATCTTTGAATGCGAGAGTGGGGAGCATGCCCCATGTTTACCCTCTCCTCATTGCATCTCGTGTGCCCCTGCCTCCACCGCGCTGCTTCCCCCCTGCACTGCCTGGCAGGTACGACGCGGAGGCAGCGTACTTCGAGGAGGGAGTGAGGGACAGCAAGCGCCAGTTGCTGCTCAAAGGCATGAGCGCTGTGAGTGCAGGGGTGGGATGGGACTTCAATGTCCCATGTGCAGTGGGGGCTGAGATTCTTGAGCCCACTTGTGGCGTTCAGTTCTCTCGTGCCTTTCCAACACGGCCATCTCTCACGACCTCTTGATGCTAGCTCTGTTCATCCCCAACCCCACCAGCTCATCCGCCCAGTGCACACGGCAGTGGTGGCGGCGGCAGCAGCTCGCTGCCTTGACTCGTTCAAGAGGGACTTGGACGATGCCACACGGGGGTTGGAAAGGGGTACTAACTCTCTTCATTTTTCCTTCTTTCCTTCTCTACCCTCTTCCCTTCCTGTCCCCACCCCCTGGCTGTTTGTTTAACCAGCTCATCCGTCCGGTGCACACATTGGTGGTGGCGACGGCAGCAGCTTGCTGCCTGGACTCGTTCAAGAGGGACCATGCCACAGGGGGCTGCACGGGCAGCGTTGCTCCTTTTGCCCTCTCTGAAGCTTTTTTCATTTGACTGAAGAATGGCCTCGCCCTCCCCTTCCCATCCCCTTCCCCTCCCCCTGTTATCCAGCTCATCCGTCCAGTGCATACGGCAGTGGTGGCGGCAGCAGCAGCTCGCTGCTTCCACTCCTTCAAGACGGACCTGGATGAGGCCACAGGGGGGCGCGACGGCAGCGCTGCTTCCTTTGCTGATTCTTCTGCCGCCTGCCTGCAGGCCGCTGCGCTCTCCTTTGAGTCCGACGTTGAGGGTGAGTGTTGTCGCACCATGGGAGCACGGCGCTAACTTGCCAATTCTGCTGCTGCTCCTCCTGTCTGCCTGCACATTCCACGCTCGCATTCCGTTTTTCCGGCGAGTTCGAGTTGCTCATCTGGCTGGTGAGGAAGGCGACAAACAGGCGTGCTGTTGCGCAGAGCATGAGTTAAGTCACTGCGTCTGTCTTTACCACTTGATTCCAGATGCTGACGTGGCGCTGTTCAGTTGGTCGGTGGAGGAAGTGAGGGCGAAGCTCACGGCTGACATGGAATCCCACGTGGCGTCGCTGCGATCGCAGAAGCTCAAGCAGATCGTCACGGATGCAGAGGTGTGTGCTTTTGTGCCCCAAGTCAATCCACACCGCCGCCTTGGCTTGGTTGTAGATGCTGTGTGTCTCACTGGACGGATCGTGTGTTTCAATGGAAATGTTGCGACGGTTGTGCATGATGACCACGAGGATATGGTTGCTACAGAGCATGAGGATATGGTTGCTACAGAGCATGAGGATATGGTTGCTACAGAGCATGAGGATATGGTTGCTACAGAGCATGAGGATATGGTTGCTACAGAGCATGAGGATATGGTTGCTACAGAGCATGAGGATATGGTTGCTACAGAGCATGAGGATATGGTTGCTACAGAGCACGTTGCACTTTACCTCACTCAACAGCCCCCCAACCCTCCGTTGTACTTTTCTCTTCCCCCGCCCCCCACATCGCATCGCCCCACTGTTCGCCCTCGCTCCCACCTTTTTTCTGCCAGGCGTCCCTGTCAGAGGCGATCTCAGAGCCGATCGCAGCATTGCTAGAAACCGTGACGGACAACACGTGGCGGGACATCAGGGCCGTGTTCTTCCACCAGCTGGACGCTGCCTGCAGCGACGTGGAGCAGGCTGTGGGGGGGTTTCAGTTGGGGGAGGATGAGCAGGCGCGCTTGAAGGGCGCTGTGGAGGCGGCGGGGCGGAAGGTGGTGGAGGAGCGGGTGAGACGGGAGAGCCAGCATGCGCTGTCGCTCATGAAAGACAGGTGGGTAGGTGTGGGGAGGGGTTCAACTCGGTGGTTTGAGGTTCGATTGGCGGAGTTGATTGGGTTGTGAGGATGGAGGAGGAGCGTGTGAGTGTGTCACTGCACTTTGCCGCGCAATTCTGTGTTCAAGGCACCTAAAACCACATCTCACCACTCTGCACCGCTCTCTCTGCCTTTGCGGTGCACAGGTTCTTCGCAGTGTTCTCGCAGGACGACCAGGGTCTGCCGCGCAAGTGGACGGAGGGGGACGACATCAAGGCCATTGCATTCGATGCTCGCAAGGCGGTGAGGCACAGAGGATTGAGAGCTTAGAAAGGGGAGGGGGAGGGAGGCAGTGAGGGGGAAAATCTGGATGTTTCTGAAAATGCAACGATTGTTGGCTGGATGATTCTCGCCACCTCTCCCTCCCTCCTCTTCCCTCCCTCCTCTAACCCTACTCCTTTCCCCTTTCTCCTCCCCCCCTCCCTTTTCTCCTTGCCGCCCATTCCCCTCCTCTCCGCCCATTCCCCTCCTCTCCGCCCATTCCCCTCCTCTCCGCCCATTCCTCATTTCCCCCTGCACCCCTCTCCCCCCCATCAGGCGCTGAGGCTGCTGGCGGTGGTGGCGGCAATGCGGCTGGACACGGTGGACAACTCCATCGAGACCACTCTCTTGTCTCTTCTGGGGGAGGGCGCTACTGGGGAGGGCGGCGACTCGTCGCGGACGCAGGACGGGGAGTCGGGGGAGGGGGACGGGGAAGTAGAGGGGGAAGGGGAAGGGGAAGGAGAGGGGAAGGGGGGGAGCAGGAGAGTGCAGCGGGTGTTCACATCAGCAGGGCTGCTGGCTGCTAGCAAATGGGAAAAGGTGAGCCGGTGGATGGGCAGGGGAGGGGAAGGGGCTGCTGTTGGGGGTTTGGAGGTTTGGGGGGTTGGGGGGTTGGGGGTTTGGGGGGTTGGGGGTTTGGGGGTATGGGGGTTTGGGGATTTGGGTGTATGGGGGTTTGGGGATCTGAGTGAGTGTGAGGTTGTTGGGTGTGTTGCGGATTTTCTGAAAGCTTTCCTCAATCTCTTACTCTACCCGCATCTGTCCACCTCGCATTCACATTCTCGCTGTCACTCGTTGTCTCCACAGATTGCTCGTTCCCCACACCCTGCAGCGTCCAGTGCTGCAAATGGCCCGACAATCGGCCATTGCTCCCAACCCAACCCCTGCTCTCCCACTGCCCCACTCCTCCACCCATCAGGTCGCCCCAGACTGCACGTTCCTGACGCCTGGGCAGTGCCGAGCGCTGTGGGGCAAGTTGAAGGCGGAGACCCAATACGTGGTGGCGCAGGCCATGCAGACTCAGGTGCACTGTGAGGCGAAGGGTAGAAATGATAGAGGGGTTGTGATGTTAGAGGGGTTGTGATGTTCGAGGGGTTGTGATGTTAGAGGGGTTGTGATGTTAGAGGGGTTGTGATGATAGAGGGGTTGTGATGTTAGAGGGGTTGTGATGTTAGAGGGGTTGTGATGTTCGAGGGGTTGTGATGTTAGAGGGGTTGTGATGTTAGAGGGGTTGTGATGATAGAGGGGTTGTGATGTTAGAGGGGTTGTGATGATAGAGGGGTTGTGATGTTAGAGGGGTTGTGATGATAGAGGGGTTGTGATGTTAGAGGGGTTGTGATGATAGAGGGGTTGTGATGTTAGAGGGGTTGTGATGATAGAGGGGTTGTGATTTTAGAGGGGTTGTGATGTTAGAGGGGTTGTGATGTTAGAGGGGTTGTGATGTTAGAGGGGTTGTGATGTTAGAGGGGTTGTGATGTTAGAGGGGTTGTGATGTTAGAGGGGTTGTGATGTTAGAGGGGTTGTGATGTTAGAGGGGTTTGGGTGTACTTTTGTTCCACGACAGTCAAGATCATAATCAGTGCATGCATCAAACTGTGCCTCACCCACTTCACCGATTGTTGATGTTTCTCCTTGTCTCTCCTCCTGCCTTTCCCGTGTCCCACCCCTTGCAGGAGGCAAGTCGGCGGAACAACGCATGGCTGCCCCCCCCGTGGGCCATTCTAGCCATGGTGGTGCTGGGGTGGAACGAGTTCATGGCTGTGCTCAGGTGGGGTAGGAGTGCTTCTTGTTGTTGCAGTTAGCAAGGTGGTGTTTACGGTAGCATTGGCAAGCTCTGACCTGTGTGCCTCACCTACCGCATGACCGAACACGTGTCTGACCATCGGCAGTTGCGTGTTGGTAGCAGCCGGATCGATCGCAGGAAACAATACCTGAAGCATTTGAACCAACACGGCCAAGAAGGCTTGATCATTGCAGTGACTACCTTTGCTATCGACGGTTGTGCCCCAACCTCACTCCACCTCTCCCCCTCCTTCCCCTTACATGCCCCCTCCCGTCCTTCCTTCCCGTGCTGGCTGCTTCTCCCTGCACCCCCCACCTCCTCCTCCGCCCGGCGTCCCCCTATCGCAGGAACCCAGTGCTGCTGCTGCTGGGAGTGTTTGTCTTCTTCATGGGGCGCGAGGTCATGGCTCAGCTGGACCTGGGAGGCATCTTTGACAACGGCATGGTGAGCTGCCTTGTGACAACGGCATGGTGAGCTGCCTTGTCCCGTCCCATCCCACCACACGGTAGTTGCTGCTCATGTTGCAAGCTGATCAATGGTGCTGCTGTGCTGTGATGGGTGTTTAGAGCTGTGTTGACGGATGGGATGGGATGCCGTACTATTGGTCGAATATTGATTGGAGGCGCACTAAACCCTAAAAATGAACTCCAAATATTCCTACGAATCACCGACTCACCCCTCCCCTGTTCTCCCTCCCTTTTCCTTTTTTTCCCTCTGCCCATCTCTGAGCAGGACCCTGGCTTCATCACCCTTGCAATTATCTCTGTGCTGCGCCGCCTGGCGAGCACGCCGAGGCGGCACCTTCAAAAACCCCTACATTCTCCCTTCCCTCTCCTCCCCCACCACTCTCTGCCCCCTGCCCTCCCCCCCCCCCCCCCCCTGCGCTATACAGGTACCGGGGCTCATCACCCTGGCAGCGCGAGCAGGTCCCATCATAATCTCTGTGCTCAAGCGGCTGGGCGAGCAGGCAGAGGCGGCTTTTACTGCTAACAATGGCCCCGTGCCGGGGCCTCTGCGCCCCAACTGGCACAGCGAGGGAGACGAGGATGGGGGCGATGTGGCGATGCAGGACTTCAGCGCGGGGAGCAGTGGGGAGGGGGGGCTGAGGCAACGAGGGAGCAGGCGGGAGGGAGAGGGCAGGTGAGGGGCTGAGGGATGGGTTGTGGAAGGCAAAAGGGAGGGAGGGGGGGGGGGGTGGGGGAAGGGGGAGAGGGGAGAGAGAGAAAGGGGCCTTAGCGAGCAGGGGGGGGCGGCTGTGAGCGCTCACATCTCAACGACGCCCTGGTGCCCGGTCCACTGTGTCCCGACTGGCGCAGGGAGGGGGGCGATGATGGGGATGTGTGGCGATGTGGCGATGAGGGATTTCAGTGCGGGGAGCAGTGGGCAGAGGGGCTGAGGCAATGAGGGGGCAGGAGGGGCGCAGAGGCAAGTGAGGAAGGGAAGGGTGAGGTTCTGACTCTACTTGTTAGGCAGTTTTGTTGATTGTGGGGAGGGGAGAGAGAGGTAATGAGGAGCATGCGGCGGTGGTTGGAAGTGGAGGCAGTTGTGAGGGGATCTCGGTATGGATGCAGCGAGCGGTGGTTTGGCAAGGCATAGGGGCCAAGAGGGGGCTGGGTGCAGGTGGGAGGGAAGAGATGAAGAGGTGGTGGCAGAGATGCTGGTGGTTCTGTGCGGTAAAAGATGGTTGTGTTACCATTTCGGTCTTGAACACTGAGCAAGCAATGGCTGATGATTGAACTGGCTGTACACTAATTTCTGATTAGCCTACCAGATGGAAGTGTGGTCATGTATACTAAATCACTACTGCGATGCAAACATTGGTCTAATGATAAAATCATTTAACTTCATATGCAGCTGATTTTGTACGAGGTAACAATCACTACAACAACAGCCAAGGTGGGTTGCATGAGCAAGGGACATCCAGAGAGCAAAAGACACATTGATGGTTCGCGCACTCTTTACAGACCTATGGTTAGGAATGACTGGTTGCTTATCAGCCACTTTAGTGCAACTTGCGCTCGTGTGATGGCAATTCCAAGCCAGACATTTCAAACCATGTGCAGCGCTCATCGGCTGAAACGGGCCACAGCGACTTCAAGAATGAAGTAGACGTGTTGAGAGGGGTTGATACGAGTTGAGAAGGTGGGAGGGAGAAGGTTGTTAGCAGCAGCGGCAATCAGCACAGCTTGAACAGATACGTAGCTGCGAGTGCTGATGGGATGAGAGGTGCACTTGCCCCAGCAGGGCTGTCCCCAGCAGCACTGCCCGTTATGCAGCCTTGGCTCTGAGTGCAGCGTCTCTGGCCTGCCTCTCCGCCACCATCTGCTCCAACCGCTCCAAGATCTGTGGAGCATAGCACAAGGCACGCATGGGCACATCACAGGGCACCGCATGGGCACAGGAATGGACAGGGCACAGCAGACACATCATGGGTACAGAAATGCATAGGGCAGAGCAGGAAAACAGTGCAGACAGCCAGTGAGGATATACCCATGAATCTGTGAACCCACATGTACCAGCAGCATCCAGCAACCATGCCCACATGATGATCATTGGGTGTCTCCTTCTGCAGTGCTTTTACACCCCCTCCATCCGCTCTCTTCCCTCCTAAAAGCACTCTGTATCTTGCAATTTGTGAACCCACATTCATGAGGATGACACGCATGTTGGGGTGTTGGCACTATTGCAATACTCAAAGGCCTCACAAAGAAGAAGGGAAACACGTCACGAGTTGATTAACTCTGGTTGTATCACTACTGTGACTTCTCACATGTGAAGCGAACCCCTTCCCGCGCAGGTTGAATTGGGAAAGCAATGTGCCTAAGGCAATGCATTCCGTGTTATTTGGAAGGGCTGCAGTGTGTGTGTGTGTGTGCAGCGTACTTCCAAAGATGAAGACTGACCTCAAGAGCGATTCGTGTGGGTGTGACCTCGTCCACTTGTGAGGCACAGCGCATCGCCACTTCTGCACACAAAGCAGAGCAGAGCATGCACGGGGGAAGGGTGGTGCACACATGGATTGAATTAGTGTGCGCTTCACACAAAGGACCAGCAAGGGGTGGTGTGCGGTGGAAGCAAAGGGGTGGTGTGCGGTGGAAGCAAAGGGGTGGTGTGCGGTAGAAGCAAAGGAGTGGTGTGCGGTGGAAGCAAAGGGGTGGTGTGCGGTGGAAGCAAAGGAGTGGTGTGCGGTGGAAGCAAAGGAGTGGTGTGCGGTGGAAGCAAAGGAGTGGTGTGCGGTGGAAGCAAAGGAGTGGTGTGCGGTGGAAGCTAAGGGGTGGTGTGCGGTGGAAGCAAAGGGGTGGTGTGCGGTGGAAGCAAAGGAGTGGTGTGCGGTGGAAGCAAAGGAGTTGTGTGCGGTGGAAGCAAAGGAGTGGTGTGCGGTGGAAGCTAAGGGGTGGTGTGCGGTGGAAGCTAAGGGGTGGTGTGCGGTGGAAGCAAAGGGGTGGTGTGCGGTGGAAGCAAAGGAGTGGTGTGCGGTGGAAGCAAAGGAGTGGTGTGCGGTGGAAGCTAAGGAGTGGTGTGCGGTGGAAGCTAAGGAGTGGTGTGCGGTGGAAGCTAAGGGGTGCGGTGGAAGCTAAGGGGTGGTGTGCGGTGGAGCGGTGGAGCAGATGTGAGTGATGGATGGCAGGGTGAACGGCGGAGGGTTGAAGAGGCAGGGGTGAGGGGGTAAGAGAAGGGGTTAGGGGAGACTGGGGTTGAGTGGGGGTTGTTGGAGAGAGGAGAGGTTGGGGGGAGAGCGCACCTTGCAGGGAGATGGTGGTATCGGCATTGCTATAGAGTGCCTTGCGCTCCCCTAATAGCCCAGCCAGGCGTGTCAACGTCTGGGCATGCGGTCAGGGGGGGAATGGGCATACCAAGGGAGGTGAGAATGAGCAAGTGCGGGGAAAGGGCAGGAAATGAGAGAAAGCAATGGCTGTTCAGCAATCCAGTTAGCAGCCACTTGCTTGCATTGCACGTATGCTCCCCTCGCCTGTAGCAGGGCCCCTCGCTTCCACGTCCGCAGACAGTCGGGTGAGCAGGCTTCCACCGTTGCAGTGCCAGTGCCAGCAGAGCCATGCCAGAGCCCCACGAAGGAAATGCTCACCTTGCTGTGCTCATCGCTTTCATGCGCTGCCTGCTGCTCTCCACCCCCCCTTCCATGGGTGCAGTGGGCGCACAGCAGAGCTCTACCATTTCAGTGCCAATGCCAATGCGAAGCCAGCGCCCTGCGGTGAACGCTCACCTTGCTGTACTCATCGCTCTCATGTGCTGCCTGCTCCTGCTCGCCCTCCCCCTGCGTGGGTTGCCACAGCAGCGGGCGCACAGCCGTGCCCACCGCCACCACCCGCTCTGCCAGATGCTCCACGGGCACGTCCAGATGCACTGTGACCCCGTGGGACAGATAGCTCCTGGTGGGTGCATGCGGGCAGAGGGGAGAGCCTGCATGAGAGAGGACGCGCACAGCCTACCACATGCCACGAGCCTGGCCTCTCTGCCACGTGCTCCACGGGCACATGGAGATGCACTGTCACGCCGTGCGACAGGTGGCTCCTGTGAGGGTTCATGGGGAGGGAGAGAGCGGGGATGAGAGAGGAAGCCACGAGGCTACCACGAGGCTAGCACGAGGCTACCACGAGGCTAGCACGAGGCACGACCCGACCCTGGCTGACAGCTGCTCTCCTCGGGCATGTGGAGGTGCACCGTGACCGCGTGCGACGGTAGCTCCTGCGAGGTTCATGGGGAGAGGAGAGAGCGGGGATGAGAGAGGAAAGAGCGGGGATGAGAGAGGAGAGAGCGGGGATGAGAGAGGAGAGGAGCCACGAGGCTACACTCGCCGCCAGCTGCTCCATGGGCAGTTTGAGGTGCACTGTGATGTGACCCCGTGGGAGAGATGGCTCGTGGTGGGTGCACGGGGGGCGAGGGATGTGATGAGAGGGCGTAGACGGTGCAATCTGATGCATGCGCCACTCCCATCCAGTCCATTTCAACTCAATCTGCTCCATGCCACTCCACTCCACTCCACTCCACTCCACTCCACTCCACTCCACTCCACTCCACTCCACTCCACTCCACTCCACTCCACTCCACTCCACTGAACTCCACTCCACTCCACTCCACTCCACTCCACTCCACTCCACTCCACTGAACTCCACTCCACTCCACTCCACTCCACTCCACTCCACTCCACTGAACTCCACCACACAAAACCGACAGCAAGTCCGTGCAAAGTGAATCGCACCAATGCACCGATGGCAATTGGATTGCAAGCAAGCAAACACAAGAGAAGCAAAGCAACAAGTGCCAATGGAAGCGACTGGGCAGCACATGGAACTGACCAGTTGACGGGGCGCGTGACAGCCCCCCCTCCCGTGGCCACCACGAGGCGACCCATGGACGACAGCTCTGCTAGCACGCGCGTCTGTGCAGGCGGGGCGAGGAAGGGACAGGGACGCCAAGGGGAGTGGAGGGAACGGGATGGGCGGGGAGGGAGTCGGGGAAGGGAGGGGAGGGGAGGGGAAGGGAGGGGAGGGGAGGGGAGGGGAGGGGAGGGGAGGGGGGGATGGTGAGGGGCGAAGACAAGGTGCATGCGAAGGAGTGGACCCATGGACGATGGCTTGGCTTGGCCGCACTCAAGCGTGGAAGGGGGCAAAGGCGGGCGAGGAGACGACCCCAGCAGCAGGTCACACAGGCGAGAAACGTTGCGGGGGGAAGTCGCTTTGCAGATGCAAGCTGCAGTGCTCGCCCGCTCACAGAAAGGTTCAGGGTGTGCTTCGTATAAAGAAAAGAACCACCTTGTCAAGTTCGCGTAGCTGGCTGGCAAACACAGGCTCGTCTGGTAACCGCGTAACACACCTGCTCCTACGTGACATGAAATGAATGGGTCCTCTCCCTTCCCCCCTCTCCCTTCCCCCCTCTCCCTTCCCCCCTCTCCCTTCCCCACTCTCCCTTCCCCACTCTCCCTTCCCCCCTCTCCCTTCCCCACTCTCCCTTCCCCACTCTCCCTTCCCCACTCTCCCTTCCCCACTCTCCCTTCCCCTCTCCCTTCCCGCCTCTTCCGTCCCCCCTCTCCCTCCCCTCGCTCTTTCCCCAAATCCCTCCCCCCCACTCCCTTCCCCCCACTCCCTTCCCCCCACTCCCTTCCCCCCACTCCCTTCCCCCCACTCCCTTCCCCCCAAATCCCTCCCCCCCACTCCCTTCCCCCCACTCCCTTCCCCCCACTCCCTTCCCCCCAAATCCCTCCCCCCCACTCCCTTCCCCCCACTCCCTTCCCCCCACTCCCTTCCCCCCACTCCCTTCCCCCCACTCCCTTCCCCCCACTCCCTTCCCCCCACTCCCTTCCCCCCACTCCCTTCCCCCCACTCCCTTCCCCCCACTCCCTTCCCCCCACTCCCTTCCCCCCACTCCCTTCCCCCCTCTCCCTTCCC